GAAACGGGTCGCGAAGGGTGACGCGCGACCAACGGTAGGGATGGGATTCAATTCAATTTCCCAAGAAACTCTTTAGCGTTTGAGATACAGCCGACGAAAGGATGCGCGCGAGGTTGAACGTACCGAACCGACTGGACGGGAGAGAGGACCGACCGTGGAAGAAGCTCGGAAACGAGCCGAAAAGAGAGGAACCGGCGCGTAACGGGAGAACAAAGATAAAAAGAGGGAGAGAGAGAAGGGCGACGAGGACAGGAGGAAGGACTCGCGTTGATATCGACGAAGAAGACAACGGAGGAACACAAGAGCAACGGCTACGCGGAAAGAAGAGGAGCGAATGGGCGTCAAGGGCGAGAAAGAGGGTTGCACGGGGAAAAAGGGAGAGGGTGACTAACTGACCGAGGGTGCCAGGAACGTAGGGGAGTAAGGATTCTGTGCGCGAGCGCGAGGCTGGCGCAAACTCTTCGTGCAGCATCTCTCGTCAGTTGCAAGTCAGGAATTGTCGCGTCTGCGTGCCGTGTGAGGCGCGCTCGGCCGGCCTGCCTTGCCGCGTTGTTTTCTGCCCGATTTTCCGCCGATTTCTGACAGTAACCGGCCCGACCGTACGCGCAAACGGGAACGACCGATACCGCGGACCACGGTCCCGATGTCATTCGATCGCGCCGTCCGCGTCGTTTGACGTTAACCGCGTAGTTATTTCGCCGAGGGACACCTCACGCAGAGCCTCGAGGATCGTCATCGAGAACTATCGGGATTTTCCTTCGCAGCATGGATAAAGACGTTCGACGGAAGTGCGGGAAAGTGCGACGTGCTCTGTTCCATCTGCTGCTGATAGTGGGGGGTAAGTTGTTGACGGTGATCGAGTTTCTTTCGATCGATCATCGAGTGATCTTGCGCCGGGAGGGAAACTCGACGGAGCAAGGGCAACGGCCCTTTGCGAGGGGACGACCTTTCATCGGACGCGAATCGGGCTTTCGGACGAATAGATCCCGTCGTTTCCGAAACGCGGAGGATCCGCAGATGCGGTGAGGATTACTCGCGATCCTCCCCAGAAATGGGGGTCGTTTCGCGTCGTTCCCGATGGAATTGCCTCGTTACGACCACTTTTCTCCCGATGGATCCTTCCTGGATCCTCCATTTTATTTCATCAATTTTCTAATTACATCGTTCTATCGCGTGCTTTCTGGTGCTCGTCGAATTACGGACAATACGTTTGATTTGCACTTAAGATCTCGATCGCTTTCAATCCCGAGAATATTCCCTTGAAATTTTCTTTTCGCTTCGCTTAATGTCGTCCCTCGATTGCTTCGAACCGGTGCACGGAATTTCTGCTTCCTTTATCGCGATCCTTTCGCCAGAACAATTTCTCGATCCCGTTGATTCTGGACCGAGCTTTCTGTATCGATCAACTTCTACTCGATTCCGAACTTTTCCATTGTGCAATTTTTACTCCTCTTTGTTAGTAGTTTTCTGGGACGAGGTTGAATGAATCTATTCTGTTTCGAGTTCGGAGTTCTTGGATACCCTGGGTGCCAGAAGTCTTCTCCAAACACGATATATCTTTGTCCACTGTGCGCCGCCCATAGTTAAACATGTACCGCGTTTCGAACACCGATCGAACAACGCTACTGTTGTTAAACAGATTCCAAACGTTTTCACTTATGTCACAAGGGGCTACCGGCTGTGTCTCATTTTTTTTATCGTAAAAATTTAAAACGTGCCGAAGAAATTATATTTGTTCCCAAAGATAATTGAGAGAGCTCGTTATCAAACATTTCCAAAGTGTAACATTCCTCGCCAACTCGAAGCAGCAGAAATCTCTCCAGAATTTTCCGGATGCACGTCCGATCCAGGGCTTTTCTAGCCCACCGACTCTCGCCCGGAAAACGAGGCAGATCTTGGAGGCGTTCGCAGGACAAATCGCGACGGATACGCGTCGGAATGTACACCTACTAGTTTCACTTTATCCCCGACGTTCAAACGCGTCCTCGACACGTTCCCGAATACACCTACTCTTCGTTCGCCCGTGAAACTTCTCCAGATATTGAAATCCAGCCCTGTCGCCTTCCGACTCGATCGAATGTAAATAATGTTTCTCCAGATTTCCCCTGTCTCGTAAACGGGATTTCTCCCTCACGTTTTCCGCGCGGACTCACCGCGCCTTTCGGGGATGAATTACCAGACTCTACGTTCCCTTTTATGGCATCAGTTTATGTCAACAGTGTCACACATTGTACCAAGTAATTGCTGCTGAGATTACTGTGCGAGTGTGTAGCTCTTTATCGAGTTTGTTTTTGAAATGCATCGACTTGAATTATCTTGAAAAAGCACCGCGTTACGGCCGTTCGAACGATTGCCGTTAAGTAGTGCGAGTGCGATAGTGCGTGTGCGACGGTGAGATAGTGCGAATGCGAACAAAGGAAACATCGGCGAGCGAAAGAGAGAGCGAATGTGGATTGCGAGCGTTGTCAAAGGTGTAAAAGTTAAAGTCAATTTTTTTGGGGGGGAAAGAGCGATTGCGAGCGTAGTCAAACAGCGATAATGTGATTTTGAAAATTTTATACATTAGTAAAATATAGTCACTAGTTTTACTCCAACTAACAATTTATTTTTCTACCGTCCCGCACCCCGTTCCTACAGTATTAATAGTAAAATAGTTGCATCAATATTCTTGAATCAATATAATCAAGCTATTAGTGCCTCTACGACAACGTAGGTAGCACAATATTAGCGATACACTAATACCATTAACATACAATATTAATACCGCAATACTATTTGTTTTCTGTAACTAATTATTAAAAATTACTGGTGCTACACTTTGGTACTTTCAACTCCTGCAGTTACTCAGCGCTATTATTTATTTCTTCATTGACTTCTACTAGCTCGACGATAACGTTATGTGGTATCTCGTTAGTCTCGTTCCGCCTTTTAATTGTGTACTTCCCTCCACTTTTTTTGCTCCCGTTCAAAAGGACATTCACTGGCAAATAACTCGTGAGATACCTTTTCATCCTTGATCCTTACTCCAAACTTTATTGATTTCAATCTGCTAATTGCAGCCAGCTTTTTCCCTCGTTCCTTACACCGGTAGCTTCGGTTATTAGGATGTGAAAGAGGCGAGATTGAAAAATCCGCGGATGAAAACGCGAGCTCGCACAGGCTGACGGTGAAACAGGCCACGCGAGGCGTTTTGTTCTCGTCTTCGGACGTTTTTCACTCGAAAACGTTGTTCCTTTCGTGAAAGCAACAGATATCGAGACACGACAACCGAACTATCCAACGGGGATCTTCGAGGAGACCATCGCTTTAATCTGGTAATTGCGGTTACGCGTTCTTTCTTCCCTTCCATGTTTACCCACTTCTTGTCCCATTGTTCGAACAAAGGATTCAGAAGCCGTGTATGCTACCCTTATTTCGCTTTCTTATTCTTACGTATTCGCAGCTCGGGGATACGTTTGCCTTTTCTTATCTATGACTTCGATGCTTTCTTTCGCTGCTTCTGTTTGCCGAGTTGAAAATAGAGAAAATCAAACTTGAACGTTCTTTTGGAACGAGTATACTTGTCGGGGGTAAAATAAATAATGTGGAGTGTCTCCAACAGATTTTAGAGAATTTGCAAATAAGGTAAATAAATTTCGGAGGTTACAATCTTCAAAGGGGTTAAATTCAAAGTTTGAATCGTGTAACGACTTCGAGGGTTAATCTACCTCCGAAAAGTTTCGCTGTAATTTCTTAATTTAACGAAGTTCCCGAAACGCGTTTCATCCCAAACTGAAGCGATCTAATTCAATTTGGTTTCTTCGCGACAGGATCTCTGTGGTTCCATCCTCGATACGAACTCGAACAATGCATCAGGAGATCTAATTCGATCCAGCTCGTCGCTGCGCAGAAAGGATTGCATCGGATAGGCGAACTTTTTCAGGCTACCACGCATCCTTCGATATTTGAACAACATATCCGGGCCACTCTTTGAGTGCTTGAATATTGAATTTGTACTCGTGCTCGTAGATTTTTAAGAACGACCTCGTGAAACGTGCAGTAACGCTTTCCAGTGCTACTTCGACGAAATAAATTTCAAGCTCGAAATTTGCCTTTACTTCGGTGATTACAACATCTACTGAAGCATTAATTATTGAAAGATTCTCTGCTCGGTTAAATATTTTACAAACGATTATGTTGCATCTTTTAGAATATTAAGAAATATTGTGTCCTCGATCTTGAAGATACAAGCTGATAGGTTTTTGTGAAAGTTGTCGAACGATGAGAGTATTCGAAGAAAGTTTAAACGATGTACGAGGTTGACAAGAGATCATAGTATTTCAGGAAGAGTGTTTGTTTTCATACTTAAAACACGTTGAACGACGCCAAAATAAACTCATAAATATTTCGCAGCGACCGTTAATCCTGGCTGTTCGTCGAGACTCGTTTACCCAGGGACGACAGTTATTCATTCGCGATCGTAAAACCATGATACAAGTATTATCTACGAAATTGGAATATCCGGCGCTGTAATAAGAAACTAATTTGCTAGCTTCCCTAATTGATTTGATCCCGCTAATAGTATCCTGCTCGCCCCTTTCAAGCTTTCTTATAGTCGTGTTAGTAGATTCGGGGACAAACTTGGGCCAATTTATTCTAAATTAACCTGATCGAATTATCCGGCCGTCCGTTACACCGTTTAACGAGCTTCGTAAGGAGAGCTTTGCGGTCGAATCGTCGGGCACAAATTAATCGCCTTAACGCGGTTCTGCCGAAGTTTCTGCTTGTCTCTAGAGCGTGTAATCGAAGCGATCTTACCACGAGAAATCTGTTTGAAATATTCTTCGAGGATACGTTTTCTTTGCCTCTGAATAGAGGGTTCGAACTAGTCATAGGGTCAAACAGCAAGATCCTTGGAGCATGAAACAAGAAACTAGAGCATCCAGGTTAATAACCAGCCCCGATATCGAAAATTTAACAAAGGAACGAGAAAATCTGTTAGCGGACGCGGCCCAGTAAATAATCATCCGACGAAATACATTGATCTGCCAGATTGATCAAGCTCTCGTCTCGTAGAAAAAAAAGGCTTTTCTCGGAGCGTCTTCTAGGATCAAACACGGCCACGAAAAGGAAACGGAGACCAGGCGGAAGATTTGCTCGAGGCACGGCCCATTCAGGATTCTCCTTCCTCGATACATTGTTTTTCTCCTTCATTTTCTCTCATTTTTTACCTCTTCCTATCCGCTTTGAAATTCGAGCACGAAGGATGCAGAAACGAAGAGAGAGTAAATTCGAAGACCTCATCGACTTCCAGCCTGCCTCCTCGTCTCGTATTTCAATCGTTGCTCGTCATCTTCTTGCTCTTTGTTCTTCTGCGAGAAGCACAGGATTTTCAGAGGCATGTCGCCTCGGACATTCGATCCGTCCTCGGTCGGAGAAGTTTTATTTCGTTTTCGGTTCAACGATGTCTCCTTTTAACGATTCTTTCATCTCTCGACCGTTTTGTAAACCCTCGGCCCGTGCTTCGTGCCGTGCCGTGCGCGTACGTGTCTCGAATTCTTCTTCTTCTTACCCCCCTATCGGATTCTTTCGATCCGAGGAGCCTCGTTCCTCCGAGGAACACGTTTCATCGCGATGCCCTCGCATTCGTCTTTTTCCGATTTACCGATGCTTTCAGCCATTTAACGAATCAACGTTTCATTAATTTTACTTCCCTAATAAGACGCCATCTTGGAGGACATCTTGGTCTAAGACTTTCGTCGTTCTCCATCATGACTATTATATCCAACTCCTTAAATTAAGTCACTTTCAGAAATTTCAAAAATGTAAAATAAATGTACACAACAAAAGTATACCCAC